GGGAAAGTCCTGGGTGTTGGAATCGGACGGGGCGGAGTGCAGCTTCTCTACGCTTTCTGAAGGTCCTTCAGAAACAGAGTAATCTCATCCACATCCCTCAGGTGGGAAGAGGCCCAATTCATTGGCCAGGGGGCAGGGCCCGCGTGGAGACAAACACTAGGTCCCCGTCCTCTCCCTCCTCCCGAGTGGCCAGGCTGGGCTGGGGGTCATCTGCCCCGTCCCTTCTGGGTGACTGCCCCCTTCTGAGGCATCCAAGCCCTACCTCGTGTCACCTCAGTAGCATAAACTGAGGTGTGAATAACAAGACTCTCCCAGCGGGAAGTGTCAGGGGTTTAGGAGCTCTGTCCTTGGAACCTGGAGGGAGCCCAAAGATGCTTCCCTTTCTGCACAGTTGGCAGGAGCACATGTGCTCAGCTGCCTTGGCAGGCTGTGCGCAGTGGGGCCCACTGAGTAGGAGGCTGCCAGGGGCCTCCAGCGGGGCCCAGGGTGGTGGGCTTTAGCTCCAAGCCACTAGTGTCCAGCAGATGGTCCCCATGTACCCATGCAGCCTCTGAGCCAGCCCCAGCCTCCTGTTTCATAGGAGGGAGAGTAACAGACCTTGGTATCCAAGGTGGCTTGGCCAGGTGGGACCCCGACAGCCCTACTCCAGCATCCCAGACTCAGGAACCAGCCATCCTGACCTCAGCCACTGCTCGGACCAAGGGTACAAACAGAAGACAAGGTGGAGTGTTGGGAAGAGGGCAGGCTCTGGAGTCTACTCCATGCCCACAGCTGGCTGACCACATAACCCATCCAGGCTCAGGACGAGAGGCCCCTGCTAGGTGCAGTGCCCCAGTTACAGCCCTGCTGCCTGGGACAGCATCATTTTGGGCCATTTTCCAATCTGAAAAGTGGGGATATTCACACCCACCTCCACAGGACCAAGTGAAATAAAAGACACCGTCTACAGAAGGAAGAGGGAAAGCACTCGGTGAATGGCACTCATAGCAGTAGCACAGGGCCAGACTTGTACCCCTGCTGAGTTGCAGTCACACCTCTCCTGACACCTTCCCTGGTTTCTCTGGGCCTGAACCAGTGTAGTCACTTTTGTCAGGTTCCCTGTTCAGATAACGCACTTACAAATCCAGCATGGGAGATGGGGATTTAGCTCAGTGGTTCTGCCACCTCCCTCGCAAACACAAGGTCCTGAGTTGGATCCCTAGTGCCCCCCCCAAAAAAACCCAAAAAACAACAAGAAACCCCAACATGGCTTTGTAGGCCTTTGGGATCTGATACAACATTGTTCCTGTCCTGTTTCTCTCCACCAGGGACACATCACAGTTTCCCAGCGGTCCCTGCTTTAGCCAACCTTAGGACCTTGACTTCTGCTGTTTCCTCAACCAGAATTCCTTTTCTCTCATTGGAAACCGATTCATCCCTGGCCTGTTGTCCCCCAGCCCCACAGTGGGAGAGTCTAAGCCTATGTCCTGGTGTCTTCTGCCTTAGTCTGTACACTTATCCCCATCAAACAACCTCGTGCCCTGAGTATCGATTTTCCGACCTGTAGAGTGGGAGTTCTACACCTGCGGGCTGGGCTTTGCTGAGGGTCCATGAGATAAAGCCGAGGGCCGATGCTTTGTGGATGTGAGCTACACTTAGACAGTGTCATGATTTTCGCAAGACTCTGCTCCCATCACCGCGTGGCTGGCACCTCTCAGACCCCTCCCCTCCCGCCATGCTGTCCTCTCGAGGATGCACTTGTTAGTACAGAGCTTCTGAATGAGGTTCCCATGTCTGGTTCTCTGCAGGACCCCTGTGACCCCAGGAACCTGTGCCCTGCGGGACGTGCACTCCATCACTGTGCAGTGCTTGCTGTGGGGCTTTGGGGTCCTTTCCCGGGGTTCACCTGGGCCTTTCATGTGGAGAGAAACTGGAAACTCAGTTTTTAGCCTGAGAATGCTCATTCACACTCGGGGGTCCTCCCAGCCCACCAAGGGCCTCTGTGGATCTTAGCTCATCAGTGTTGCTGCTGAAAACCCGTGAGAGGAAAGCTTACCCTTCCCCACTTCAGCCAGGTGTTCCACGGAGAACAGGCAAGAGAAAGCCCGAATCTGTCTGGGGTGCAACCGCTACCGGAGCAGCAAAGGTGAGGCCGGGGAGTTAGGTCAGCTGTGTGCTAGGAACAGGGATACAGGGAGTGCTCCCACCTGCCTGGGCCACTCCAATCAGCCCCGGGAAACAGACACAATGCCTTGCTGTCTCCTGCCTGAATCCTGTTTCTAGGTGGTCCAAGTTCATACCATATCATACCAAGCCCCGGGATCTCTGTGTTGCTATTCGATTCCTTGGTTGGCCCCTGGATGCCAGAGCCAAGCTGGGATGCAAACTTTCACTCATAAACCAGAGAGGCGGAGAGGCTGTGCTCTCCCTGGTCCCACCTGGGTGCTAGTGCCCACAAAGATCTCCCTAAGTGGCAAGTCCAGCCAGAGAGGTACGGCAACTGAGGCTGTCCAAGGTCTGGGGCAGGAGGAACTGAGTGGATCTGGTTGCATGTTCGGAGGCTACAAGATGCAGAGGAACGTGCCCAAGGTCATGAGGCTGCTCAGGGTGGCTCAGGTCTCAGCTCTCACCCCTTCCACTTGACGAGGATGTGGCTGAGGAGGAAGGTGGGAGCTGGAACTAACCTTCAGCACCCTCATGTCTGTGGCCGTTACCCATAGTGCACTCTGCTGTTCCTCCACACAGGATGCAGCTCTCAGCCTCCCTTGGTTCACTCACCGCCTGATTCACTCCCTCTCCCGATGCCTGGTTCCTTCCTGCTCCACACCTCCTTTAACACAGTACCGAGTCCTGCCACAGCCCAGACACTCGTGGGCTCATCCCAGTGGGGCAGGCAATGATCACCTTCATCAGAAGATGCACGGCCCACTGCTAAGTCAGTGCTGCCTGTGGCCTCCAGGGAAGGGATAAGGAATTTCCATGTAGAAGCGAGGGGAAGTTTCTCCCCAAAAGCATTTGCAGTGAATCCTGCAGGACAAGGACTTTTTAAAGGTGGGTGACAAGGACAGGGCATTCTAGAGGGAAGGCACAGCCCAGGCTGAGACAGAGAGGCCTGGAGGACAGGGGCTCGGGACTCCTTCCAGGGTTGCTCCAAGTCACCGACATTCACACGAGTCGACAGAAACTTGAAAAGGAAGCTTGAAAGTCTTGCCAACTACACTACTCTCCTCTAGCCAGCGTCTGCGAATCCATGTGGGTCAGTGATGACTGCAGTGTTCTCTGTGGATTTAATCGCCATACGTGGCCGACGACGAAATTACCCTAAAGTTTTACCAACATGCCGGTGACATTTACAGATTGCAGTAGGAATTCTTTTCGCTTGTGAGAACTCTCTGTCCCCAGGGCAAGACCACCTTCCCAGGCTGGGGTCCAGTCCGGCGGCAAAGGCACGAGGCAGCGGGTGTAGCTCATGTGAGAGGTCCTGCCTTCCATTCCCAGGACAGCCGCAGACACAAAACCAAACCAAACAACAGGAAGTAGAGGGAGACGTCACCAAAAGCTGAGCTGACCCCGGAAGTGGAAGGCGCTGGAGCCCTCTCAAGCTCCTGGCCTCAGTCTTCCTGTCTTCCGTGTCTGGGAAACACTGAACGGATTATGCCCGTCTAGAACATGCGTTCCTTTTGCATCTGGTAACAAAGCTACAGAGCACTTCCCGAAACCTGGTCGTGGGAAAGGATAAGGGGCCCTTTCTTCATATGTGGAGGCCTCCACTAAGTCCTTTGTGATGAATGGCCCAGCGGAGGTGGACTATCACTGCCCGGTTGGGGGAGTGTCCACGGATTCCTGCCACAGCCCAAGGTACCTTTCTACGCTCAAGAGGAACACGAAGATATAATTTATCAGTTCAGACACTTTGAAATACGATCGCACCCTTTCTCCCAGCGTCTTTCAAAGACACCAGTGCGCTACCAACAGGGCAAGAGAGAACCGTCTCCCTCGTTAACTGATGGGTTTAGCAACTCCAGGATGGCGATATGGACTCCGGACATTAGCCTCCTGGTGGTGGGGCTGGGAGTATTGAAATGTGATCTCCGCCGCTGTAGCTATAATTGTTTTATGTCACATTGACCGGGCGTGTTTACGATGTTTAACAACTGTCTTAAAAAGTCCGGTGACATCTGTTGAGAGTTTAATTGTGAGTGTAAAAAAAAAAAAGTAATTAAAGGATCAGCCAAGAGATCAATTTTCATACTGTTTAAGCAACACGGTGGCCATCAGGCGGCGGGGGACTCTAGCGACAAGCCTAATTGTGTCTCCCAGGTCGCATCGTTCAGTACTGAGTCAGGAGAGGCTAGAAGATGATTCAAACGAAAAGGAGGCAGCAAAAGAAAAGGTGCAGAGAGCGCCAGGAGAGAAGACAAGAGTAAAGGGCCCTTCTACGGCAGTGTCCTAAGCCTCGGAGTCCAGAGGGACGCCCAGGCAGGAGGGGAAGAGGTGCCCCGTTGTCTTGGGGGTCGGCTGCTCACGCAGAGGAGGACGTCGTGGGAACTCGCGGCCAGAGCGGATCCGGATTTCGCGCCCCTCTCCGCCGACACTTTTGTTCTCTGCTCTGGGCGTCCGGCCGCCGAGGGGCGGCAGTGCGCATGTGCGGGAGGGG